CGTGTGGCCTTCTGTTGTTACTCTCAGGTCTTATCCCAGCAGCTTTTATCCTCCAGGAAACGGGGCACTCAGGTAAGGTTGGGCAACACACCATTCCATATCTGAGTGGCGCAGACCTTGGGGGCTATCTGTATCACTTCACGTGGTGTCCCTCCAGTGAGTTGTCTCATCTGGAAAAGTCACAGCTGCTCCCTGCTCCCAGGAGCATTAATGTATACCCAGAGAAGATGGAGAGAGGTTTATGTCAGGGGTGTAATGTGAGAAGCAAAATGGAAGAGCAAGCCAGATCAAGACCTCAGAGAGAAGAGCACAGGGCACTCACTGCCTGGAACCTCAGAAGCCAACACAGGTCCAAGAAAAGAAAACTCTAAATTCATCAGGCAGGTAGTGACCTGGCAGAAATCCTTATCTGAGAGGCAGCTTTGGCTGAATACACAGATGAAGGAACCAAACAACAGGACTTTGAATCTGTGAGTGGACTCAGCACTCAAGTCCTATCTTTGAGCAGACACTGAAGAATGAGGCCGTGTCCTTCTAGAAAATGCTGCTTTGTCTCTAACAACCAATGGGTGCAGAACCAGCAGATGTAGAGGGTCTAGGGCCTAGAAAGCCTTCCTACCTGGACTCAGTATCTTTACCCAGAGGTCCTAGGTTTCTGGTAGCAAGCCCAGGATCTCTCCACTGTGGCCAAGCAGTGAAAGTCTCAGGTACCACAGGAGCGGGCACCTCTCCTTGTTCTGAACAACAGCATTGCCACCTTGTAGTGCCTATTCACTGCGACAGACCTGTGACACACCCTTCCTGGACCTCAGCACCTGGTGGAACCTCACAGGTCGGTTTTCCTCTTGGTTCAAGCTTTCTCCTCCTGATTCAATCCTCACCAAACAAGAAGAGCTGCACCACACAGGCCTTGCTATTTACTGGGTCATGAGAGCTGACTTAATTTATGATTAGTGACTTGAGGTTAGTCAAATGCTGGTGAGCTATTTTATTCCTAAGAACATTAGGGTACCATTTTTAATAGAAAAACATTGTCACCTATTGAAAAGTTCAATAGATGTAAGGGACCAAAGGAATGTACTAGATATTATATAAATTTTAAGGAGAATGTAGAGCTAACACAGTCTCCAGACTAAAAGAGAAAAAGAATATCAAGACACGGGCCAGAGCAAATCACACACATAGTTGGCTTTGGAGACTGCACGGGCACTGTGAGTCTCACAGGGCAAGGGAGGGCAAGCATGGACACGCTTCTCATACTTTAACAGTATTACTCTGTGTACACGATCATTAATTGCTAACACTCATTTCTAATGTAAAAATGTTCACTGATTCCTTTAGCAAAAGCTAGTTGAAATATTTTTAAAGGCCTGATGTAAGATTTGGGAGTAACAGGACACAGAATGTTCCCCTCCCCCCACCCCTCTCTCAAGAACAACAGGGTAGAAGGACTAATGATCACTGTGCCATGGTCACTGGTGACCACACACCATGCCTGGATAATAAAACGAAGTCTCAATTTGCTGAGTTCTCCAGTGTGGGCTGCTTAGCCCCTCCATGGGTATCTTCTGAGAGATGCTGCCTGTTCACATCCATTTCTTTCCTGAGGATGTCAGATACAAACAGCATTGGGCACCAGAGATTGCGTTCCTCTAGGCAGTCTGGCAGTTAAAGCACCCTCCGTTTGGGTCCTCAACTGGCTGTCAGGATTCTAAGGACCCACTGTAGGTGCTGGAGATTCCTAGGGTGGGGCTACGACCCAGATGCATAGGCCTTGGCTGGGAGAGGCTTCAGAGGCATATAGGAACCCTTGTGAATGTGAAGCCGTGCACTGCGTGAGAAGCAGGGATGTCTGTCTCTGGCCCAGCATTTCCCATTTCCTGCCATTATCATGAAGCTGTGACTGGCTACTGTCAGTCAGCTTGCCAGCAGGGAAAAAACTCAAGGCCTCCCAGTTCCTCCCATAAGTCCAATACTCTTAGTTTAAAACAAGCTAAGGCCCACTGTTGAGTACCTTCCTTCACCTGCTTCTAAGCTGACTGTAACTATCACAATTCCTTTGGCAAACACTACCTAATTTTGCAGGAGGGGGCTTACCAAGGCATGCCAGCCTAACTTTTGTTCTGCCAAGCTCTGGAGTGACTACAGATGCAGACATGAGATGATAACAAGCTACAGGAAGGTTCTTATACTGACTTCCTGGAGGACATTCCTCCACCCTCAACCATCAGTGACCTTAGGCTCCATATCCACATACTGTCAAGATTAAATGTGTCTTAGCAATTGATCAGAATTAAATTACAGAACTCCAAATACCTCCACAGCTTTCTGAGTCCCTATTATAATCCTTTTTAGAACTGACATTGGTTTTATAGGGATTTATCACATCTTTTTGTTTTGTTTTCTTGATTCATCATATGGAAAAGTGGAAGAGTTCCATGTCAGGGCTGTGGAAATTACTTTGCTAGCACTGGAGCTACTTTATTTCTAATTTCTGATGTTCTGTTACACCAATTCCACACTGCTACGGGATAGGAAGGCAGCTCTCACAGATGCTAGGAGCTCAGCGGTATCACTTCTGAGTTCATGAGGACATGTCCTGTGGCCTTGTCCCCCCAGAAGTGCTCCCTCAGCTCTGGCTCTGAGCAGCCTCTGGCTCCCATTGCCTGCAGCATCTTCATCCTGGTAACCTACTGCTATTTATATTCTTGGCATTGGAACCCTGCATATTTCAGAGAGCAGACACAGAACTGGGGACACAGGCTGTCTCTTCTGAGAGCTGCACAGTGGCTGGTCTGATGGTCAGCTCTGCTCTCCTGAGGGTGGCTGGCCAGTGACCAAGGAAGGTCGATGAATCAGATATACACTTCTTTCTTCTGTAAGCTAATGCTGAAAACAGAAGCCCTCAACTTAAAATGTCCAAGTAGGCATCCGTCCTTGCAAGAAAACCAGCGAGGTTTCTCTGTACACCAAACACAGGAGAAATCCTACAGACTTGATCTACATGGCTATGCCAGCCAAGCACTAAGGACAGCCGAGAAGTTCTCACAAACTCTACCTAGGCTGTTCATGCAGGCTGCCCTCTGGGAACAACCCAGGAAGCTTGTCTCAGGTGCTGTCTTTGAGAGAGTCTCCCAGCTGGGGTCTCCAGCCTAGGGAGCTCAGCTACGGCAGTTCTGGTCATCACTGGCCACAGAGGTCTGCCCAGCTCCTGTAAAAGTCTTACTTTAATTTTATTCTTTTAAAAAAGATTTGTTTCTATTTTATGTATATGAATGTTTGCCAGCATGTATGTATGTATACTACATGTATGCAGGAGCCTATGGAGTCTGAAGAAGGGGCTGGATCCCTCGGGACTGTAGTTACCAATGTTTGTGGTGTCATGGGTGCTGGGAACCCAGAAAATGCTCTTAACTACTAGGCTATCTCACCAACTGTAGTGGGCAGCCATTCCATTTGACCTGGAAGTTCCAACCCCCACTGAGACTTTGGTAACAGTCACGCCTACAAGGCGGGGCCGAGAGAGGACACTGAAGGCCGAGATCCATCTCAGATCTAATTTTATTTCCTCCTCCTCCTCCTCTTCCTCCTCTTCTCCTTGTTATTATTATCATTGTTGTCATTGTGTGTGTGTGTGTGTGTGTGTGTGTGTGTGTGTGTGTGTGTGTGTGTGTAGGCCTTTGACACAGGATTGCTTTCCTGAACTCTGAATTTTTACTGAACAGAGCCAGCCTCAGTGGCCACAAAGCTGACCCTTTTGTCTCATCTGAAGTCAGTTTTCAGCTGAAGTCAGTTCTTCGATGCTAGCTAGCCCTTTCTGGGGCAGGGGAACTGATTGACTCTATTTGCCTCTATGGACTGAGGTCATTAGACAGTTTGGGGCATGTGACCTTCAGGATGACATGTGTGTTGTAAAATCACAAGTCTTTAAAGGAGGCCTGGAGCCAGAGCCTTCACTGTCAAGGAAACCGGGGTCTAAGGCGGGCAGGGACAAGATGACTCCGTACAGCCTTTCTGACTAGTGTGGGAGCCACTGCCCAACCTGGGATTCTGGAGGGTTGAAAAGTGTCCCAAAAAGTGAGGTGCCAATAACATTAAAAAATGTACTATGTTTGTGAGGCTTACTACAAAGAAAGAATGTAGAAATAATAATTTCTTGTTGTTGATAATTAGATACATTTAGATTAACATAAAACACATTATTAAATTAATCCTTTTCTTTTTACTTGTTTTAATGTGGCTACTAGAAATTTCACATTAGTGACGTAGCTGTAACTGGGTTGTTAGGTAAGCGGGTTCAGAGCGGAGTCCAGGGCCTGAGGCCTGCTACCAAACATCAGACTGCTGTAACAAGCTCATCTTGATTTTAATTTCTTTCTTGAAGAAGTTGTACACATGACTATAGAGCAGAGAGATCCAGGACAAAAGGCTGTACTGTTGATACCTGGGCTGGTACCCAGGATCATTTGTGGCTGTGAACATGGAGGAGGCATACATCAAAGGCCTGGTGTCCCATTTCTGTTCCATTCAGAGGACAAGCTTGACAAATACACCGTGTTTACAGTAAGTATGTCTTTAGAAAACTGACATTCCCTTGTCCTGTTTGCTTCTGACAAGTTTCCATCATTCTTACATGAACCAACATTAAGGATAGCTAGTATTTTAAAACCGAGAATTCGGGTATGTGCTGTGAGTCCCTGGAAGCCAGATCTGCCTTTGCAGAGCATGGCAGAGCCATAACATTACGTTAGTAACAGCTGCCTCATCAAGCCATGGAAACTGCTGGTGTTAAAAATTAAGATTTTTTTCTTTTACAATGTTTGGTGACATCTCTGCTTACACAATGCTACAGGAGCTTTGCTAGTGGCTCACTAGGGCAGTGGCAAGTGGACCTGTCTTTAAGGTGCAGGTAACCTCCAACCTCCCAGTTAGGGAGGATGCTGAGAAGTGCAGACAGCTAGACCTTCCACCTGCAGCCCAGACTTATTCCCCAGACCCACCTCTGTGCTCTTCTGTTTGTCTGCTCAGAAGGTCTGCACATTTCGTCTCTTCTTTCTGTATTTCCAGATGAAAGCGACATTCTGGATGGATGCTGCTCACCTGTTCAAGTTAAAGAAATAGAATAAATAAAAACTACACAAGAGGAGCTAAGCAAAAATCTACAAGAAGATACAAAGCGTTACGGTTCAACGTTTCTTTCAAGTTGACATTCATTTTAAAGGAGCCATTTTCATTTTCCTGGTGTGGTTATTTTAAAAAAGAAAAACTTTACTATTTTGTGAAACAAACATAAAATCCAGCAGAATACTTTTCCTGAGTAGGAAAGTAAACGGGCATTCTATATTATATGTTGTAATTGCTAACTTAAGAGCAACTGGGCTTTAGAAATTCATACTTTCTCAGCATTGAAGAGCTCCCATTTCACAGCCTGTGGTTTGCTGAAGTACAGCAAGTTAACTCTTAGTGGCTGTGGGCTGTGCAAGGTTGCTCTGTGCACCGAGGACCCCCTGTGTGATCACCCCAGAGTCAGAATAGCCCAAGTGAATTTTCACAAGCTTCAGGACACATTAGAAACACAACCCATGAGTACAGATGACATTGCTGTCATTGTGAAGTTTGGTGTGAAGCACCTTCTTTAAAAAAACGAGAGGGATTAAAAGGAAGAGGTGGAGCTGAGAGAAACACACTGATCCCAAGGAGCCATGGGAAGTTTCTGTAAAGCTTTCTTAGGGTCCTTAGACACTGTAGAAGCAGACATCAACAAGGCTGTACCCCAACAAGAGAGGAAAGAATCATGAGCTCTTAGCACAGAAGACAATCTTCTCTGATCTGTGTCCTCCTAAGCTGGACTGCCTGTGGAGCACTTGTCTCTTAGTTTTTCTCTCTCTATGTCTCAGTTCCTCCCTGTCTTCACAAAAACTTGCTTTTATAAGACAGTAATGAAAAGGAACTATGCTCAGTTAGGTATGGCTATCTGTGTTTGGTTATCCTACTGTTGATATAGGTCAGCTAGCATTCCAACAAGGAATACGATTTCCTGACAGAATCAAAGGAAGAAACCCAATGTCAGATTTCCCTGCCACATTCGCTTCATTTAAAGACCACCTGAGAGGCCTTAGACCTCCAAAATGTAGAGATCCCTGATGCCAAGCAACAGCAACTCATTGATCTCATTTTCAGGACTGACGAAATGATAACTTAAGGCGCTACAAAGTAGCGCGATCTCTGACACTTCCTGGAACAGAGGGAACAATAAGGAATGTGGGACATCTGAGAGGTTAAGGTGGATGGAGCCCGAGGCTTCCCCACCACCCTTGTGGAGCTCCCCTCAGCTGCCCGTGGGGGCGGAGAAGATGCGCTCCAGAAAACCGAAAATTCATCGACAATGACGGATGGATTTCCTTGAAGAATCCCTCCCCTCTTCGCAGCACAGGTTTAGCTTAGTTGGCTCCCTCAGCCTGGAGGCCTAAGCGTGGAAACCTTGCACAGGGACACAGTTCTCAGAAAAAGCAAGAAATAAGGCTCACGTCTTTCTTTTCTTTCTTAAGACAGGTTTTCAAATAAAGGATAGAGTTCCAGAGAACTAAATAAAGCCCATGCAACCCATGTAGTGAACCTTATTTCAGGGGTTCCTTTGGATCGCTTAGGGAAAAAAAAAGAGTATTTCCAAAAGGAAACTTTCTTAGTCACACCACGTTCCCTCTGTCACATACTAAACAAACACAAGGACCAGGAGGTGGAAAGAGAAATATTTAACCACAGAGCAACTGCAGTTTCTCTCGGAAGCGAAGCCAGAGCAGGTGGCCTGGGCAGCGGCGACTCTGCTTGCAGGGTGCTAGGGGTATCCCCAACTCCTGGCGCACTGTCAGACCTGGTCCCAGATCGTGTCCGGGGAGTCAAGGAGAACCTGGGCCCCACTTCTGGCGAACCCGCGACTGGGGTAAGAATAGGAAAAGTGCCAATGAGTCCAGCAAGCCAAGGATTAGGTAAGGCTACGGTAGGACGCCTGGGGTCCCGTGCATTCTGCTCTGGATCGTCCCCGCGGGCTCCACGCTCCACCCGCTCGTGCTTGGGACTCGGGAGGCGAGTGCAGCGGTCCACTGCAGGACGCACCTCTTCGGGAAGGGGGCGCGGGTTCACTCACCGGCATCAGCAGCCAGCAGTAGCAGGTCAGCAGCACCGACGCCCTCATCTTGGGCTCAGTGCGCCGCCTCGGTCCTAAGCGTCCACAGCAGCCTCGGCCCCAGCTTGGGGCCTCCCAGGGCTGATTTCCTCAGTCCCGCGCCTAACTCCCTCTCCGCCTTCCAGGCTGCGAGTCTCGGCCCCGCCCCTCAGCCCAGTCCCCGCCTCGCGCCCCTTCTCCTTTCCGCAGAACCTCTCCCTGGCACTCTGGTCCACCGGGTCTCAGTCCAAGCTTTCCTCCCTCCACCTCCGCTCACTGCCAGCAGTGCTGAACCCCGAGCCTCACCCCAAGCCCCTCCTGGCCCGGGTCCTTCCCTCGTCAACCCTGCTCTCTCTCGCGCGCCCCTTCCTGCTGGGCTCCCCTTGCTAGCCCTGCTGCACTGCGACCCCAATGAGGGCAGGCTGCCTTGCCCACGGCTTTGGAGGGCTGGAGGCTCAGGTAAGCAGATGCTCACGACTAAGGGCAGTGCCCAGCCTCAGGTAAAGGAACTTGTGCGCTGCTGAGGGCGGCACTGACTTCCTGTGAATGAGAAGTCTGCATGCAGCTCGAGGAAGAACCCCAGAAAGCAGGCTGGACGCCCACGGTAGGGGCTGCAGTGGTGTGAGCCAAGAGAAAGAAGGAAACTCTCCTATGGTTTCCCCTGGAGAGCTCAACGGGCAGGTTAAACGGAAAGCAGGAACTTCACCAAGGCAAAAGTGGGTCCTGCCCATGGGCGCCGGAAGTGTCTCTGCAGACCCTGGGGTGTCGCATGTGGGACCCACTGGACACCAGGCCCGTGGGGACACTGCCACTGCTCAGCTGCGGCTCGGCTCTCCACAGGCCAGGCTAGGGACGAGTAGAAAGTTACCAGCAGACAATAGCACCAGATAAACTAAAGCAGGCGAGTTTTAAACTTCCTATTCAGATGTAACTTTAAACCCGGAGTCAGAAGACTAGAAGTAGTAGAAAATGCACCCTTCACACTTTCGGGCGCCTGTCTGGCCACTGCCTTTCTTCTCACTAAGTTTATCGCGTGCTCCATGATACTAGTGCCCCATGTTCCCGAGGACCTAGGTTTCCATCTGCTGTGTGCCATCCCTTCATCGTGTGTGTATCTGTCCGTGTCTGTCCATCGGGGAATCGTAAAGGAGGAGAAGGTCTGGACACTAGGTCTGCAGGCTGAGGTCTGTCTGGAAGCTTGGGCTCTGGCTGGGTCCACAAACACTCACCGTTATTCCAGCCAGTGAACCTGATCCACCTGCACACTTGTAAGTCACAACCATGACCCTTGTCCTTCCACCCCGCGGGTCACAGTAAGAACTAGGAAAGCTGATACATGTGAATAGTTGTGAGGGCCTGCCCTCTAAAGCCACAGCTGGATATCCTGGGTCAGAAGAAGGGTGAGATGCCAGGGTTCTTCCCCGCAGTGCTCCACCCACAGCCACGGAGTATGTGACGATGTGAAGTGATAGCTCTGACAATGAGGAGATACAGGCAGGGGGAACAAGAGGACCTTGACCTTCCTGGGGGTCCCAAAGAGACTGGTCGCCAGTGCAGCTGAAGGTTCCTCAGATAGAACTTTAGAAAGGAGTGTCCTTCACAACATGCCATCCCATGGTCAGTGCTGGGGCAGAGGCCCTGACACACAGGGAGCAGGGTCATTGCTGTCTAGAGCTCATCCTCAGAAAGGACACCCGTAGAGGCTCCCTAGCCTGGTCTTCTGGCTGTCTGAAGTCACACTGCTAATGAAAGACTGAGCTGAGTTTTTGTCAGTGAGACTTTACCCTGTCTTTCAATTTATTTTTCTTTCCAAGCCACCCCTGTTGGAGAGAGAGAGAGAGAGAGAGAGAGAGAGAGAGAGAGAGAGAGAAGGAGAGAACAAGGGAGACACCCAGAGCAAGAAGCCAGGCAGACATAGAGAAGCAGAAGTAAGAAAGGTAATACACAACAAGGCAAAAGGTAGATAAAGAGAAACAGGTTAATTTAAAAGAACTTGCCAGAAACCTGCCTAAGCATTCAGAACTAATAATACGTCTCTGGTCATGATTTGGGAGCAGGTTGGTGGCTCCAAAGAAAAAGCCTGGTACAGAGCCCCCCTTGTACCTATGGGTGAGTCTGCTTGGGTCTATATGGGACCTCACACTATTCAGAGCTGGGATCTAAACCTGAGTCTCAGCCTTGAGCTGTGCCCTCTGCATCCCTCCGACTGCTCTGACCACTCCCCCCTCATCATTTCCACCTACTGATGTCTGAGCACCTTATCCCTTCCACACTGACATCCTCTTGAATGTTGGGCAGTTTCCTGGTACCTTCTGGTACCTCAGTGGCTGCTCTGGTTTCCAGACTAAGAAGCCACGGGCTTTCAGTCTTTGTTATCACAGAGGCTTTTATATCCCAAAGCAGCATTTGGGGCAATGCTTTTCATATACCATTTTAATGAACCCTCTTGGTCTCTTAGGATGTGGTCACTGATTTCTTTTCCTTTTGTGCCAGTGAAGTTTAGTCTCAGCCGTCATGGCCGACACTGAGGGCTTAGATCCTTCGTGATCAGCCAGCCCTCTCCAAGTGCTTCCCTACATGGAGCTGATTCGGTGAAACTTATCAGAAACATTAGAAGCGTATATGCACACATACAAAGAGGATCCTCAGGAAATGACAGATGACACCCACTAACATCCGCTGACTCTTGCTCTGTTTTCTTATCTACGAGGGCTTTGTGTTCAACTAAAATCTTCAACAACAAGAAAGAATGAAAGTGATTGTTTCAACGCTATTTGTCTTACTTTTACAAAATGAAATTCTTTCTCAGTGCTTCTTTCTGACACCACCCCATAATGAGGGGAGCAATTTCAGGGGAGAACATAAACTGAATCTATTTGCTGTGCCTAGATGGGATGGTTATGAAAGACACATGACCTATTAGGAGGTACAACTACAGCCATCTCCAGGGTTCCACGCCTCTCATGTGCAGAGAAGGAAAACAACACTACTCATTTGTAAAGCACAAACCTCCTCCTTTGCAAAATGTATTAGGTGATGGGTTGGTGGCTCATCCTGGCTCCGTTAAAATCCTGAAAAGCAAACTAAATTCTTGTTTAAAATGTACAGTTTATTTCATATTGGTTATGGGTCTTGAAAATGTAAAATGAAAATGTAAGAGAGTTTTACCTACTATTCTGTCAGAGCTGGGGGAAAACAGCCTTATAATTCATTTTACTGCACAAATTTGAAAGGCAAGACTTCGTGCCTGTTTTTACAGTGAAAGTTGGTGAATGGAGCCTGTCTCCAGGGCTATCTCTCCTCACTTGAGGCTTGGCCCTAATATCAACCTATTAATACTAATGTGTGTTGAGCACACATACCTTTCCAGATTCTGAGCCCAATCCTCCCTTCATGATCAGACTTCTTGGGAAGGGGGGCAGAACCAAAAAGAGAGAAAAAGAAATCCTCTAGGGCGCTGCCTCACTTGAGTATGGCGGCTGCGAAGCCCACAACCAAGCTGTCTACAATCTAGAGGGGCAGGAAAGCTGGTGTCATGGCTCTGTACAGGTCTGAAGGCCTCAGATCCAGTAAAGCATTTGGTGCAGTTCTTAGATCGGGCAAAGCACTGAGAACTGGTGGGTCCTAGAGTCCAAATCCTCAAGAACCTGGAGTTCTGATGCCCAAGGCAGGGGATGCTGCTTCTGAAGAGAAAGCAATAATTCATCTTTCCTTTGGAGTTTTGGTTCATTTGGGCTCCAGCTAACCAGTGGTACCACACACACAGACAGTGGGTCTTCCCACTTAGCCCCAGGCTCAAACTCTTATCCAAAACACCCAATGACAAATCCAGGCGTGATGCTCGCCAGCTGTCTGTTTTCCTCAATCCAGCTACATTGACTACTGACATTCACCCTCACACATGTCCCATGTTGAATTAGAATGGGAGAAAATTTTGTTTTCCATATTTTTACAGGTGTTTTTACTAAGGCCATTCTGTTTTCAATGACATGGAGCACTTCTTGTATACAGAACTCGGAACTCGGAGTACTTCCTGAACATGGAACAAGGAACTTGGATGCCTATGTGGGAAATGGGTTAAAATGAGAGTGAGAGAATGCTGGAAGGAAAAACTCAAATTTTAAGTTCATGTAATCCACTAGTGAGGAGTTTTTATTGAAAAAATAGCAGATGGTAAATTCTCTTCTCAAATCATTAGAGGAGAAGACAGCTTGAACTCCAGGAATCAGGGGTAGGGTGGAGGTGTGCCATGGCTGCAATCCTCTACAGCCGCCTCTTGTCGCCAGATCTGAGCTCATGTACTCTGGTTCAGGTTCAACTCAATTGTGTAATTGTCTGTACTAAAAAATAGCGTTGCTCTTCAAATTTTGAAGTTGAAGCATAGGTTATGCAGAATAAATAGCACAGTTCTTACTTAGCTAAGTTTTTCCTACACACACGCCAGAGGAGGCACATTCTACGTGAAGATTCAGTGCGTTCCAGAATCCGGGGGCTCCTCCTATCTCCAAGGCATTGAATGGTCCCTTCCATACACCTGTGGGTTATTTTGTTATTGTTAGAGTTGTTTGTGTTTGTATTTTTTTTTAAAAAAAGGCAGTCTCATATTGACCTCAAACTCCATCCTACATTAAGCTAAGACTGACTATGAATTTTTCATCTGTCTTCCTCCATCTCTTGAGCACTGGGGTTACAAATGTGTGCCACTATGCCTAACCATACAGTTATGCTTTACACTTGAAAATCACTGCACCTGAGCCTGCCAAGAAGCCAGCAGAGGACTGTGGCGTTTCTGCTTCTGCCATTTGACGTGCTGATTTGCACAGAGCTCTTGTACTGTTTCAGGTTCACAGGCCACCATGAGTTTGCAAACTTGCTGAGAGCCTGTGACCTGCATTTATTTCCTTGTCCCCAAGGTGACTGAGTAGAGCTTGGGTATGGTGATAGTGGCTGGAGTGTTAACTAGCAGCATGGTCTTTACTCCCTGGCCTCTTCCTAGATGCTCGTTGAGAAGGCCAGAATGTCCTTTAGATCATTCAATCAAAAGCAAGCACTTATGCAGCACCACATGTGTTCCGGGTGCTGTGCTTGGCCATGGGAACAGAGCCCATGCTCGTTCTTTAGGAAGCATGCTGTCTGTTGAAGACAGTCTCT